CGCACGCACGCACGCACGCACGCACGCACGCACGCACGCACGCACGCACGCACGCACGCACGCACGCACGCACGCACGCACGCACGCACGCACGCACGCACGCACGCACGCACGCACGCACGCACGCACGCACGCACGCACGCACGCACACAGTCACACACGCACATACATACGCGCGTACACACACGCACACACGCACACACACAGACGCCCACGCACACGCACACATACACACACGCGCGCGCATACACACACATGCATACACACATAGACGCCTACGCTCACGTCCACGCACACGCACATAGACACACACGCACACACGCAGCGTCCACGCACACACGTACATACACATACACACACACATACGCATACGCATACACACACACAAATGCATACACACGTAGACGCCCGCGCTCACATCCACGCACACACACATACACATACATACACACACGCGCACACACACTCACACACGCACATACACACATACGCACACATGCACACACACGTAGGCGCCCACGTCCACGCACATGATCAGGAACGCGCGTGCGCGCGTGAAACCTTATCTTTCTTCTATTGTCGCCGTGTGCCTTCGCTATCGCCAAATCTCAATTGAAATGTTCAAGTGATTATAACTCTGCGAAAAAAAAATCGTAGAGACCTCGGCGACAGCGCGTTATTTTCGTTTCGGAAAGCCCTTTCGAACGAGCCCTCACTCACCTCGACAAGCCATTTAAGACTTTTTGGTTCCCCTCTTCCCCAGTCCCCCGGGGGCGTGGAGGTGGGTGTTTTTGTGGGTAAATAATAGAATTTGGGATCCCATTGTATCTCTATAAATTTCAAACCATTCAAAAATTATTGAGGTGGTCCCCGAACTTTCAGAAGGTTCGGAATGTTCGGAAGGCACTGTATGTGTACACATACATATATTTATTTCATTTTATATTATATATATAATATAAAATAGAATAATACGTATATATTGATATGTATTTGTATTCTATAGATACGTATTGTATATTAACATTAATCAGAATCAGGGAATCGTGTCATGAAGAATATCAAATCAAACGAGATGATGTAAAATAATATATTGTTCACCATTTCCCATAGTATGCACAAACAATGGGAAAGGATCAACTAAATCTTCATATTTAATTAAAAGCCATTTTTTACTTTGTTTTACCTCAAACCCACCAATATTGCAATTCAGACCTAGATTTGTAAGAGAAGAACAAACAAAAAGTAGAAAATTATCGTGAATAATAATAAACTGAATTTCCGCAAAGATGGGACAAGAACTTTCATCTATTCCACAAAGCAATACCATTCTAGGTCGATACCGAGTACCTTTATAATCGACCCAATTAGCAACAAAACATGCATCATATCTTATATTATTTGGTAATGATAACACAAAATCATTGAAACGATCATTTTTACTAATATTAAGAATATTCCCTGATCCTACTTGAATGTTAGAAAAAATACTTTCTTGAGCCATAAGTCTAAAACAAAAAAAGAACTGATATCGAGTAGCAATTGAACAAGTAATGTTTTTCCTTGACATGACAACATTCGAAATTTTTTTCAAAAGTTTATGAAAACCCTCAAGCCTAATTACAGATAAGAAAACAAGTGGCCCACATTGCATCATGACTCTGGAGTAGTGAGTGACATTATGATGTTTTGGTTTCAAATGCTGCTTCGTGCATTTCATATACAAATTATGATGTTCTTCCACTAATATTTTGAATGCAGAAGCAGATTCCTGTGATATTGATTTGCTGAAGATAAATTCAATTATTTCTTTTAATAATAAATACAACTTCCAAAATGGGTCACTATATGATTTTATATAATGTCCAACAATTACTCCAAAAAGTTTACAAAAAGTTAACATCTCTGAGGCTGTCATTTTGAACTTGCTTTTTGTTGCAAAATCATATGCTATACAAGGTGGTTTGTTTTGTACATTAGGACCATAATCAAACATTTGCAAGCTATAATTGAGACCTGATAAAGTAAAATCACCATTCTGAACAAAATGATTTATAATTGGAATCATGTCGTAATGAGCGATACCTTCTAGAACATCATGCATAATATCAACATAAATATTGTCTGTAACATGAAATGAAGTAATTGCATGAAAAACACACTCCTCTTTTATTCCAGTAAGAGAACTGTTCGCTATAGTTAAATCCATATTATATAATGCACGTGTTCTGAGAATGGATTCATCTTCAAGGCAAGTAGTTTGAGAAATAGTTCGATGCATTTTATAAAATCTACATGTATAGTTAGCTCGGAAACTTTCAACGAATCCACAAATAGCATGAAGACCTAAGTTATCACCCAATAATAAACTTAGCACAAAATAAATTTTATTAAGATTTCCATTAACAGTTATTGTTATTCCAACTTGCTCTAAAAAAATCAATTCCTCAATTAAAGGTGCAAATGTTTGTTTATTTCCAAATTCTTTACGGTCTTCTGTGTTAAACAAGAGAGCTAAAAAGATATTTTCCAATCGAGATACACACTCAGGTGGCAAACATGGTATATAGTAATATACTCCTCCAAGAGAAGTACTGTGAGATCCTAATGGGTTGTTTACTTCCCAATCATCGTAATATACAAATAATGGGAAAACAATATCCTCATCTGCAAAGTGTTTTCTTTTCTCATGCCAAAGTCTGGACTGAATAAAGTTCGTTATAGTATCTAAATCTTTGAGTGAATTAATATAAGACATTATGGCATAAAAAACATCAGACATTTCAAAAAATTTTTGTAATGTTTGCCTTAAAGGTATAAAATAACCGCAAATATCTTTCACACGTTCTACAACACATGTTTTGGTTCTTTTACATACTTTTCTGTTACCTATACAATATTTAACTGGAATTGTATAATTACCACAAGATTTAAAATATTCCATACGTTGGTACTCGTTTCTAAGATGATAAAAAGGATTTTCTAGTGTATTAAACATGGATGTAATATCTTGTATTGTTTGGCCATCGCAATCAAGTGCATTCAACTGCGAAAGAACTTTATCTTTTAACACAGGAATATGGCCACTTGTTAGAAATAATGTGCTCTCCTCAATAATGGATTGAATGTGATTCCGTGGAATGGAAGATCTGTGATATAGTTTTGCAACAAAAGTGTCACATTTATTTTGTACTAAAGATTTAAATTGAGTAGGATTTACCATTAAATTCTGATTAATAGTATCTTCTGAGGATGTTTCAGGAATATTCGTATCTTGGTAAATTACCGATTCACTAGTTATTTCTGTGTCAATAGATTGTACAGGTTGCACAAAAGCATGTTTTGTAGTAGTAGGCCATAAAGGAAAATTATGATTTGATCCAAGCAAATGACTTCGTAACGAATTCCATGAGGACCATTCTCTGACGCATCCATTTTCGCCGCATTTATAAATAGTAAATAAATTTACATAATGTTTAATGTTAAAATGCGTCAAGAGACCGTTCACAGATGGAATAGTTTCTTTACACAAAAAGCAAGTGGGCATGATGCAAGTGGGCCAGTGTATTTTCCGTAACAATAATTACGATTTCAATGATTTATATTCTTGAACTGTTGCCAGAACAGAAGATGTAAGCTGCGAATTTTTTTGTTTATCCCAAACAGTTTCAATGCCATACACACCTCTTTGCAAAAACATGAACAGCTGTCCTACCTCTAAAGGGTATCGAATGTTCAAAGTATTACACAATTTGAAGATGAGGTCCACAGCTTTTATCGGTGTTTCCACTTCATATCGGAATGTGTTTATAACGACAAAGCACTGCTTAATTTCGTCGAAAGAAGGACCAACTATTACTGCAATAGGTTGTGAAGGCTGACCAAATGATAGTAATTTTGCTGTTCGCTCCTGCAATCTTGTTTCAAGATCTGCGATTGTCTATAAAAGACATAATTATTATTAACCCTTACGTATTATATTTTTATTTCAATGTTGAACATTTTATTCTATAATAACATACATGCTTAGAATAAGAAGCACATTTGACATGGAATATATAAAATGTCACGTACAGTGATCAAGTTTATGTTTCTCTTTTAAAAAAAACTAAATTGAGTGGCACCATGCAAAGTGATTATTTATAAGAAGATGGAATTAATTATTAATAAATAACCATAACCTAATAATCACAATCATAAACATATATAATTTAAAATACTCAAGGATTGGATCGACCAAGGCTGGCAGTTTTATTTTATTTTAAATTTTACCACGACGTTTCGGTTATATTTTCCTATGCTTCGTTGTCACAAGTAATAGGATCCACTTGAAAAGGACCAGTATTACTGGCCGAAACGTCGTGGTAAAATTTAAAATAAAATAAAACTGCCAGCCTTGGTCGATCCAATCCTTGAGTATTTTGTTTTAATTACTGGCGATACAATTCTAAAAATATATAATTTATTTTTTTAGCTGCAACATCAGATATCAGATATGTGTCATAGGATTACTTCTGCACTGAGAAAAAGTAATTAAATGAAATAAATGTCATTGCAGGGTGCTAACGAATTTATACTTGTTGCAATAATATTCACTATTGCAATATTAACATCTTAATTCAATCAATTACGGTGTTAACATTGCAATAGCAAATATTTTGTCTTACATTTTGTCTCAGTGTGAAACTGTGCCTTTAATTTAAAAAATTATTTTTTACTTTTATTCTTACCTTTATGTGCAAAATAAATCCTTCTTCAGATTCTTTTCTAGAGGGCCTCCAATTTTGTGCTTTGCTGTTTTTTATTGTATTCACAGGGAATAAATGAGGCATCAACGATAAAGTTACAATTTTTACACCATCTATCGAAAAATATGAATATTTATATAAAAAATATTGAAAGTAAAAACGCTTCATTGTAAAAGTAGATTAAAAAATATCTAACCTGGTGAAAAGACGTCATTGAAACGATTCTTCAGTTTAGTCGTCACTTTATTCATTACAAAACTTGATAGTTTTGGCCAATTAACATATAATTTTAACTTATGATCTGGATATAACGTTTCAAAATCGTTCTCCAGCTAAAAGTGACACAAAAACATTATACAAAAATATTAAATATTTTATATATTAATATGTATGTGTATATATATGTGTATGTACAATATATACATGCACATACACTGAGAAAAAGTAATTGAATGAAATAAATATGTTATTGCGGGGTACCAACGAAATATATTGCAATAATATTCGCTATTACAATGTTAACATCATAATTGATTGAATGAATGAAGATATTAACATTGCAATAGCAAATATTATTGCAATGAGTATATATTTCGTTGGCACCTCGCAATAACATATTCAATTACTTTTTTCAGTATACACATGCACACATGCACGTACGCATATGTGCACACATACATACACACACACAAATACATACATACACGCAAAATTATTTCCATTATCCATTAATGTATAATGTTCAATGTATGTTTATTCACAATATATTTACATTTATAAAAGTCATTGAGAAAAGAAATACTTATAGAAGCAGATAGAAAAACATAAGTTCATAACTCTTTAAACAATTAAGGTACAAACTTATAATTGCTTAAAGAGTTATAAACTTATGTTTTTCCATTTGTTTCTTTTGTCAATGCTTTTATAAATTCAAGAAATAAATTTAGTAATTAATAATTAAAGAAATTAAATCATGTCGAACTCACTAATACGAAGCCTGAAGGATCAGACAGGGCTGGAAACTGATACATATATTCCTGACAAGACTGAGTAGTATTACTTTGAAGGTCTTTCAATCGTTTCTTCGAAGTCAAAGACCAGTACTCAGTCACTGTCTCCCATGGTCTACAATTATTTTTTAGCCATAACATATGTTCTTCATAATTCATAAGAGTGTCATTGTCATTTTCGTCTGCAAAAATATAAATAAAAAGTATATAAAAATTTTTG